GTTGCCCAGGTTAGCCTTGAACTTGTGATCCACCTGTCTCAGCCTCCCAAGTATCAAAGAATATTATTGAATGAAAGAAAGAATGAGTGAATATCAAAGTCATCTTAGTTGATGGCAGAGGCTGGGGTGGAGGACTATATGAGTCAGGAGCTAAAGTCCTGCAAGAACATGAGAGTTCACTAGATGTTTTATGGGGCCCAGCCATCAACATTCTAGTTTAGGGAAACTGCCTTGTCTATTACTCAACTGTCCTGTAGCTCCTGTTTCTATTCTCAGCTGTGTACAAAAGACACATTTAAGTGATTCCATTTCCTCTATTGGCTTGCCAGGGATCCGCAACCTGTGTGGCCTGAAAAGATGAAACTGTGAGTGGGGCTAATGTGATTTTTCTCCCGAGATTTGGGAATTTGGAAACACATTGAAGTGGTTAACAACACTAGGAACATAGGTTGAAGAACTATATGAAGAATTGTCAAGAAATAAATAGCACAAGTTGCAAAGTGGCCCTTACATTTATTTTTATGACCTGTGCAATGTTTCTTAATATTTTGAAAAGGTTTCCATTATATGAAAATAGGGAGATTCTACATTAAAATCTGTCTACTTGGCTTCTCTTATAAAACCTGAAGGTCTGGTATGTGAAAAAACCGATGAGCACACAGGCTACATGTTTTCTGTTCACCACAGTATCTACCACTCCATATTATCTACCCTTGGCCATCTTCCTTCACACTACCTTCTGGGTCCTTGTACCTGTCTCATGACCAATGTGTAGAAGGAACCATTAGCAATGATAAATTATATGCAAGCCAGGTGAACAGGGGAACAGCCCATTACAGAGCAGGAGAGGGAACTTGATGGGGACCTCAGAGTGTGGAGAAAAAGGATACAGACTCCAGAAGAGGAAAACGAATTTCCAGAGGTATTTGGGTTCCTGAACTTTCCTGTTCCAGTACCTGTCCATGATGGCCCTCATCCTAATTCCCTCTTTTTGAGATAATTCCCAATGCAATTAGCTAGGCTAAATCAGGGGATTACTAGAACTTGGTGAATGATAGCAACAAGAAAAGCAAGACAATGGTATGGCTAGATTGCATGAGCCTCAAACAAGGAGTAATTCTTCCACGAAGATGGAACGTAAATTGTAAGTTGTCAAGAATTAGGCTCTTGCTGACCATATATAGTGACTCAGAAACATCAGGCAGGGAAGATTGCACAATCTCTGTTCAAGAGGATATATGGTCAAAAGTATTTTCGGTAGCTGCATGCAGTGGTGCACACCTGTAATCCCAGCTACTTGGGAGGCTGAGGCAAGAGGTCACAAGTTTGAGACCAGCTTGGGCAACTAGCAAGACCCTGTCTCAAAATTTTTTTAAAAAGGGCTGGGGCTGTATCTGAGTGATGGAATGATTACTAGATCCTGGGTTTAATCTCCAGGACTTTCTTTTTAAAGTATCCATAGGGGAAGTCAGATGAATACTGGGAAAGGATATGGGTGTCTGGGGTCCAGAGGGTTTGAAGGAAGGGACTAAGAAGGCTAGAAAAAATAAATTTGGTTGAGATATAAGGTTTGATAATTTGTGTCTTTTATAGGCCTGTGACTAAGGTTCACTGTATGTTGAAAGGAGAGGTTTGCATTTTAGCAAAAGGAGAAGGCTTCCAGAAGGAGGTGGCACTTGGACTGCAAGTTTGTTTGTTTGCAGTGCTGGGGATCAAACCCAGGCCTTGCATATACTAGATAAGTGCTCTACCACTGAGCTATACCCCAGCCCTGAGCCATATTTTAGAGAGGAGATGAAAGGGAGATGCTGCTTAGGCACACAGAGCCACAAATACAAAGGCAGAATTCTCTAGGGGAGGGAGGGCAGTTAGTAGTTAGGGTCTGGCATCAGGGAGTCTGTGTTTGGCCTAAGTCACCTGACAAGTTATTTTTATATCTTGGGGCCTCAGTTTCCATTATTATAGGATAAGGATGATAATATTGTATTTCTTCTATTCTAAGATCCACCGCTTCTACAACTCCACTTTTAATGTTTCTTTTTTCTTTCTTTCTTTTTCTTTTTCTTTTTTTTTAACAGCTAAAGAGAGATGGAACTCAGTTTTATTCTGTCCTCTCTGAAACTTTTCTTTTGCACCATGGCCTTGTCTATCAAAGAAGAAGAGGAAGAAAAAGCCCTGCCTTATTGCATAGAATTTAAGTACTTATGCACTTGTTAGAGGATGCAGGATATCTATTTCTCCAGTTTTTTGGCTCTAAGAGATTACACTTTCAGTACCAGTGTAGTGAGGAACCACTGGCAAACTGCTGGAAATGTCTTCTGGATTAGTCAGTGTACTATTTCATAAAGTACTTTTGGAGTTAAAATCTGTCAAGCTGTCAAAAGTGTCCACACTTTTACAACAAAGGATAAAAGAATCCCAATTGGTATTTCACCAACTCCTTTCCAGCTGGATTTTGTTATTGGCATGGCTGTTTTAACCTCCAAGAAGCTGGCCCTCACCCAGGAAAAGCCTCCTAGCCCTTCTTCAGGTAGTGTTTTCTACTTTGGATCCTCATCTGGTGTATCAAAAATAGTCCTCAAAATAGATGGTGTTTTCAGAATTCTTGTCCTTCTGGGCTGATTGGGAAATGCATCTTCCAAGAAAAATATACGTGTCCAACTGCAATACTTGAAAGTGTTTAAAAATTAATTCAGATTGAAGTATAGCTAAAAAGGTGTGATCAATTCCAGTTGCACAGTGGCTGTGGTGAGAACGTAGGACGTGATGTAGGTACGGCCAGCAGGTGGGATTTGCAGGTATTCCAGCTAGAGGCTCTGGTACCCATTTTCCCACTGTCACCTGCCCACTCCCAACTTCCCCTTTCACCAGTATGCCCAAGCGGCAGTTAATGTTTTTTAATTTAGGACCTATCTTAAAGTTGAAACTCCCAAATACTAGCTTTATCACAGGGCAGAGAAGAAAAAATGTGGGCTGGGGATGTGGCTCAAGCGGTAGTGCTCTCGCCTGGCATGCTTGCGGCCCGGGTTCGATCCTCAGCACCACATACCAACAAAGATGTTGTGTCCGCCGAGAACTAAAAAATAAATATTAAAAAAAAAAGAAAATGTATTATCACTAGCTGGACATATACAAATTTATGCAACCACAGAAAAATTTGTTCATTTGATAATTAGCTTAGTTGTTTGCATATGTGGTACCATGCAGTTGAGTTTTAATTTGGTCCTCCAAAGTGTCACCTTAGGTAACCTCTAAAAGACAATATTATGATGAAGCATTAAAATAGTAAATTATTGTGTATGCAGACAGTTGTCATAAATTAGACATGCAGCTGAATGGTAGTAGAAATTGCCAACTCTTGGTAAATTTGACCAGAAATTACAATACTAGAAAAGGTGGCTTGGACAGTTATGTAACTAATACTGAACTTTTAACAATCAATATTTTATAGATATCCATGAGAAGTTGTATTGATTCCAGAGGTATGCAATTCAATTAAAAAAATCAAGTTTATAACCAAATTGCAAACATACAAAATGCTTGCATATACTTTGAAATGTCTTAACATTATACTGCTACTTTTTAAAGATGCTAAAGAGATCAAAATATAAACATGGGTTCTGAAAAACAGTGTGCTGTAATGTTATACTTAGGTACATGGTTAACGGTTATATTAAGATTTTAGACTGTGAAAGCAAAATGTCTTAGACTGAACCTTTGATTATGGCACCAGAGAAGAAAGTGGTGCAATTAAAGTAACCAACATTACTGAGTGACTACTAAGTGGCACTGTTAAGTAGACAACTTTATCAGATCAGTGGTGTTATCTTCATTTTGAAGTGAGAAAGCTAGGAGGTAAATCCAAGAACTTTGCTTCCAGATTCTTACTTGGTACCACTATGCTGTTAGAACACCCTACCTATGCATAATTATGGATACATCCCATCTTTTTTTTTTTTGAATTGGGGATTGAAACCAGGGACTCTTTACTACTCAGCAATATTCCCAGTACTTTTTATTTTAAGACAGAGTCTCACTAAGTTGCTAACCGTCTTGCTAAATTGCTAAGGCTGGCCTCAAAGTTGCAATCCTCCAGTCTCAGCCTCCCCAATCACTGGGATTACAAGTTGCACCACTGACCTAGGTTAAACAGCATCCTAAAATCAAGGAATATGGTAAATACCTGTCTTGTAGAAACAGGTGATCAGTATCTTAAAGGGCTTCTAGAAAAAGCAGATCAGAGGGGCAGGTGTTGCAAAGTGGAGTACAATAAGTTTGATCTTCAGAACCCTATCATTGTAAAACATGCGAAAACTACTGGGAGAAAAGTGTAAGGAGGGGTGTCTTCTGTTTTGACAGCATTCCTTCACACGAAATGCCCTCTCAAACTTGTCTAAATCCTTCTATCTTTCGACGCCTATCCCAAATGACAGTTCCTTCAGGAAGTGGTTTCTGGTTATATGAAAAGATGTATATGGGAGCAATTTCCAAATCATTAAGCGATGGAACCAATAAGTGAAAGATGGATGTTAACATTAAAGCTGTCTTCGCTCTTCTCCTGGCCTCAGTTTGTCTAATCTGAAAAGAAGTAGTGGCTTAGCCTATTCCTTCCTTTTATAATTTCTGCCCCTGCCTTCTTCAGATTTCTGCTAAAGCTGCTTTAAAGAGCAAATCTTCTCGGAGCTGCAGGAGGCGGATCCTTGGCGCTGGCAGTTCAGTAGGGCGGGGCTGGGGAAGCAGGAGGAGAGGCGGGGGCTAGGAGGGAAACGCGGAGCGATGTCACGTGACTTCCTTCCCAAGGAGCCTCAGCGGCCAGCCTCCCAGCAACGGTGCGTCCCGCCTAACGACGCCCGCGCATCCCGGTTGGCCGTCGGGGGCGGTTGTGGCAAGGAGGTGCCCACGGTCAAGCTGATCATTGGTTGGAGCTGTTGTCGCTCAGGCACGTTGTCCGAGCGCCCGCAGGCGGTGCTGCCGGAAGCCCCGCCCATTAGCCGCTGGGTTCGTGGCTGGCTGGCCGTGGCTGTCACTCCCGGGCCATTTCCCCGAGGCCAGCGCTCTGCTGGGGGCGGGAGGAAGAGGGGCCGGACTGGGGCCTGACGAGCGGTCGCTGTCTTCACGGATGCTATGACCAGCGGGCGAGGCGCCCTCCGCAGCTCCGCGCAGTGTTAGTCGCGGCCGTGAGTCCACTGAAGCCGTCTGGGTCTCCAGTGCGGCCGCTCCCGCGGGCCCCTCGGCTCTCCTAGCGCTGCCCGCAAGGCGAGGCGGAGGTAGGATGAAGATGACGGTGGATTTCGAGGAGTGTCTGAAGGACTCGCCCCGCTTCAGGTAACCGGCAAGGCGCCTGGCCGGCGTCCCCCCAGAGCCGCCTCCCCCGGCGGTGGGGGCGTGAAAGCTGGCCCCGCGGAACCGGAGGAGGGCCCCGCAGTCCCTGCCTTCCGACGGGGCGAGCGGCGCTTGTCTCGCTTCCCACCCGGCGAGGGCACTGTCGCTTTCCACCGGCCTTTCCCGAGGGTCGAGGCGTGGCTGAGAAGGGGCCGGAGCCTTCTCACCGTCTTTTCCTTGCCCTCTGCCTGGGGCGGAGCGCCCCGGAGACCCGGTGTACCCTCTCCCGCCTAGAGGAAACGGGGTGCAGCCGCGTTCCCGAAGTCTCGTCCCCTTTGCGGGCGCGCGCTCTCGCCCCCTTCCTCTTCTTGCTGCTCTTCCTTTCCCCTTCCTTCCGCTCCTTCTTGGTTTCCACCCCCTCCCCACCCCTTCTTTGAGTGAGCTTTCAGGGCATCCTCTTGCAGTTCACTTAGTTCCTCTTTGCGCTTTTCCGCTCCCCTTAGCCGGGGGAGGAAGGAGTAGGGGGCGAGCTGGGACGTCTGCGTCTGCTGCTGTTTGTCTCCTGCCAGAGGAGCGCTCAGGGAGGCGCTGGCAGTTGATTTGTTCGGGAGTCGGGGCTGGGGGTGCTTTGACCAACCGCATTCCATGGACCCTAGTTCGTGACTGTCTTTGCTTTTCTTTCCACATAAGCTCTTTGAAGGGGGCTACGCTGTGGGGAGGTACTGGGCTGAAGGGCGAGGACTAGGAGAAGCAGTGCATTTCTGTTTTGAGAACGGAAGTAGGAGGGCCCTGAAGATTGCATTTATGTTACTCTTCTAGCCGCCTCGGGCCCTAAAGGGCCCTGAATCCCAGTCGGATGCTCTCAGTGGATCTGTCACATAAATCGACCTGGTGGCATTCCTATTCACCATGGATTACCCTACCTTCTGTGTGAGAGGCAGTAGTTCTGAGTAAGACCAGAATACATGCTCATTCCTAGGGAACTGTTGAATTGTTCTGGAGATTGGAAATTTTTGTAGTTCTATTTTACAGTGCATTTGCAGGGCTGGCCTTCTACTTCAACAAAATAAGGCCTTAAAACTTCCTTTAGATAGTGACATTTTTTGAAAGCTTCCTCTGAATGTCTGTGTGTATGTGCCTGCCGATCTCCCTGCCAATCCTTGATGGTAAATTCTTGCATCCTCTGCCCGGGAACTAACTGTTCTCATCCTTATCACTGTTAATTTGATTTCCCATTCTCCTTTCAGTGAAAAGCAAGGAAAAAAGTCATCTAAAATGAAGGAACACCTACTTCTTAGAGAAAATTTTAGAACACTTTGACTTTTGATCTTTTCTGGGTTTTAATTTTATTTGGAGCTTAAGGCTATAGCTTGCAAAAGAAACTTGGTTTGATTACTATTGTTGCTATTAGATATTGAAACTTTTATGTTATGGGTGAGTTGAAGGACTCATCCACAAATGGATTGTCTAGAACAGCCTTGCAGGTTAATTTCCAGGGATGGGCTACAAATGTATTAATTTTTAAAGAGTACCTTAGAAAGTTTTGCTTTTTGTGACATTTCTATTAATATGACTCAGCTGTTTATTTTAAATGAAGTAATCACAGCATTTTTCTGTTTAGAAAATGCAGCTTTGTGCTGCCTTTATTTCACATTTGAAATTTGATATTTTTAAATAAACAATTTGAGAAGTGATTTGGAGATATTTCTAGCCATTTGGCGTTTGTTCACAAACCTTGTAATGCCTTTGTTTTTAAAATAAAAGAATCATTGAATACAAAATAAGGGAAACATTAAGTTTTGTGGTGCAGTATAGTGAACTTTTGCTAAACTTGGATGTAGTATATATTTTAATAGAGTTAGAGATTTTCAGAAGTTTTTTTTTTTGGTATTCTAGTTATTTGTCAGCTGCAAATAGGGAAAAAATATCAATATTCCAAGAACTCAAGCATTTTGTATACTTTGTTGAGGCTAGATTAGATTTGTAGTAGCAGGAAGAATGCCAAGAAATAGAAGTCTCATTATTCACATTCCTAATATTTGTAGTTTTTTTATTATCTGTTACTATGTAGATTTGTGTAGTAGTTGAATAATATGTTTCATAAGTCTATATGTGTAGGAATAGTACTCATTTTTATGAGTATTGGAAATCATATCAAAATAGAAAATTTGTGAGGGCTGGGCTTTTTTATTTAAAATTAAAAAACGATTAGCAAGGATGGTGGAATGGATGGACATCATTATACAAAGTACATGTATGAAGACTTGAATTGGGTGTCAACATACTTTTATACAAACAGAGATACAAAATTGTGGTATATATGTGTATTAAAGAATTGTAATACAAAAAAAAAAAAGAATAGGGTTACCTTAGATTAGGTAGAGGGAAGTGAAAGGAGGGGAAGGCAGGGGATGGGGGGAAAAGAAAGATAGTAGAATGAAACAGACATTATTACTTTATGTATATATGTGATTGTATGACCAATGTGATTCTACAATATGTATAATTAGAAAAATGAGAAATTATATCCCATCTATGTATGATATATCAAAGTATATAAGTGCATTCTACTCTCATATATAACTAATTAAAACAAATAAAACATTTTAAAAAATTAAAAAACTTTTTTGTGGCACTGGGGATTGAACCCAGGAGTATTCTACCCCTTACCTACCTCCCTGTATGCACCCCTCATCCCTGCCTTGCTTTTCAAAATTTATTTTGAGATAGGTTTTCACCAAGTTGCCCAGGGGGCTTCAAACTTGCTGTCTTCTTGCCTCAGCTGCTCAGTAGCTGGGTTTACAGGGTGTGCCATCACTCCCAGCTGGCTTTGTTTTATTGATAGCAAGGCAGCTGCACTTGTAGTGTCCTGATCTATTGTGTCATTTTTATATTAATTTTTTTTTTTTGTACTGGAGATTGAACCCAGGGATGCTTCACCACTGAACAAAATCCCCAGTGCTTTTTTTATTTTTTATTTTGAGACAAGGTCTCACTAATTTTTTTAGGGTCTTGCTAAATTGCTGAGGCTGAACTCTAACTTGTGATCCTCCTACCTCAGCCTCCAGAGTTACTGGGATCACAGGTGTGCGCCACCATACCCAGCCATCTTTACACTAATTCTTAATTTTATTTTCTTTCACAAATGAATCATACAGCATTTAAATCTGGCGTGTGCACATAACTGCCTTGAGTGCTGCAAGATGAATGCAAAAGGCAAATCTTGCTGAAGAAAAATTTTTACTACTGTTCAAGTTTTAAAACATTCATTTTCTTGTTAAATGGATGAGAACATGGGAGGGGGACTGGTTGAAATAGGGAGAGAAGGTTATTGTGGTTGCAACATTGTCTTTAGTAATTTGAATAAACCCAGTGGTTACTTGTACATTCCAATGTACAAGTTTTTTTTTTGTTTGTTTGTTTTTAGATTCTAGGGCCTATTTCATTGTATAATTTTCGATACCTTTTTAGTTTTTAAAACACCAGTCTAATATTAGCTTAAAGGTCAGAATCTTGTTCATTTAAAAATCTGCAAGAATGTAAATGTGTCTAAGTGTACTTTTTTTTTAAGTGGAAATTTTACATTTGACCAAAACATTCAACATTTAAAGTTTGAATTTCGGTGCTATGTTATTTAAAAATTCATAAACTTGCAATAAAGTTTCTTTCCTTTATTTAAACATATTCTAGCTTACTCAGGAAATGAATATTTTGTTTTAAATTAAAGGTTGAATTAAAATTTTCTGAATCATGAAAAATTTTTGTGTTGATCAATGTTCAAATATAAAAATGTTGGCCTTAGTAACTTTCAAACATGTAATATCTGTCTACTATATTGACTTTTTCAAAATATTTTTTTAGTTGTCAATGGACCTTTATTTATTTAAATGTATTGCTGAGAATTGAACCCAGTCCCTCACACATGTTATGCAAACACTCTACCACTGAGCCACAACTCCAGCCTTTATATTGATTTTTATCCTTTATCAGTGTCTATTTTATATCATACTGGAGGTTTTTCATTTGTAGATTCTATTTCAGATATATTTGTTCAATAACTTAGGAATAAAAATTTCTTAAAAAGATGGATTCAAGTGTAGGTTTTTATTGGGTGAAAGACATTGGGTAGAATGTCACAATCTATACTTTGATTATATTTTG